TGCTCTGCTGTTGTGTGGCGTATTGTTTTTGTACTATTAGTGCTTGGCATATTTTTAATTTAACGTTTTTCTTTGTTCATATCTTGGATCTTATTACTGTTTTTCTTTACAATTTACACTTTTGTTGGATGTAACTGGGACCCTGTGTACACAGTTTCATTCCACCACATGTACCACTTGTGATGTGAATGACAAATAAAAGAAACTTTGACTTTCACAATAAGGGGGCCCTCAGCAAGGTGTATACACTGCTCAGTTCATACCATGAGACCAGTTTAGACTTTCAAACTGAAATGGGAAACAGACTTGGAGGAATCCTTATCAGACTCAGACTAGCAAAAGATCATTCAGAACATTTACTGTATTCATCCTAAATCTGTCTGAGACACACTGTAATTCAATTCAAGGTGATGCACCGGCTGCACTGGTCCAAAGACAAGGTGTCCAAGATCAAAGCCAACCTGGACGCTGCATGTAATCATTGTAAACAAACTCCAGCTACACTCTTGCACACATTCTGGATTTGTCCCAAACTGCGGACCTATTGGCAATCTGCTTTTGACACCTTCTCTGGGATATGTGGAAAAACTATGCACCCGTCCCCACTCATCTCACTGTTTGGGGTGGCCCCTGTGGATATGTCCTTCAGCAAGTGCAAAAGAGTGGTGATTGCTTTTGGCTCTCTTCTGGCCAGGATACTTGTTTTGTACAGATGGAAGGATCCACCCCCATCGGAATATGAACACTGGATAAGAGAAGTCATGTATCATATTCATTAGGAATGCACAATATAAACGGTACACAGTACAAACAATAGAAATTTAGCGTATGATAGAGATCTGACTTCTACCGGCTAACCGCAGTAATGCTGTGTCTGATGTAAAATCAGAGTTGTCAGTTTAATTGTTACTTTTTTTTTTTGTTGAAAATTGTGCATAAGTGGTGTTCAAGTGTAAAATCAGCTGTCAGATTTAATCATTACTATTTTTTTGTTGAAAACTGTGTGCAAGTGGCGTTAAAGTCTTTTCTTCGAGAGCGAAGTTACAAGCTAACTACAGCCGGCTTGCCGTAGTGTAGTTGTATTCGGACGCATGCGCAAAACGCTGTGTTCCGTCGAAAGTTAAAGTAAGCGTTGGTCAGCTTTAGAGAAACCTGCTCTCTGATCTGTGAAAAGAACACTGTGTTGTGTGATTTTACTGCGAGACCCTCTGGTCAAAGCCACAGACTCATTTTGTGTCAGCTCTCCATTAAAGCAGAAGGAGGTGCCCACTAGAGCTTTGGAGGGTGAAGTGTTTCAGTGTAAAATGCTGCTCTGTTGCTGCTCATTTCTTAAGTGAGAAAACTGGAAACTGTTAAGAGTTAACAACATATTCTTTTGTTTAAAACATATGGCTAAAACTACATTTGATATATTTTGCACTGTTTTGCACTACAAGAAAGAAGCCCAATACTTGATTTGTTTATTATTTAAAAACTCTCTGGACCTAGTAGTGGAATTTTCTTAATTCAAAAAACATGATGGCAAAAGAACACCCTATGCTTTTTTTATTCCTATTGCAAGTTTTATACCAAAAATATATTGTGATATACAGGTCCTTATCAAAAAATTAGCATATTGTGATAAAGGTCATTATTTTCCAAAATGTAATGATAAAAATGAAACTTTCATATATTTCAGATTCATTGCACACCAACTGAAATATTTCAGGTCTTTAATTGTTTTAATACTGATGATTATGGCATACAGCTCATGAAAACCCAAAATGCCTGTCCCAAAAAAATAGCATATTTCATCCCACCAATGAAAGACAAGTGTTTTTAATACAAAAAACGCCAACCTTCAAATAATCATGTTCAGTTATGCACTCAATACTTGGTCGGGAATCCTTTTGCATGAATGACTGCTTCAATGCGG